CTAGTTTTAGTTGTAGTGTAAATGTACCTCAATCAGTTTTTCCTTCCTCCTACAATTTACCAACTTTTTAAAATATATTTATATTTTTCTTGACTTATATCAACTATCTGAGAATCCAAGAATTTTTAAGAGACCAGGTTTACAGCTTGCATTTATACAGCGCCCAACACATAGAAATACGTCTGCATAGCTTAAGGAGGGTATTAAAGTTTTGGAGAGCAGGGGTATTTTTTATCCCTTTTTATGTTGTTTTTTGTCAACTTTCCTCAAAGAGTTCCGGGATGAGAGATCTCAGGGGGTTTTGCTTTTTTTCATTTGAACATCCAGATCTAGGAAATGGAAGATTGGATATCACCAATTCATAGAATCGTACAGCACAAAAAGAGGCCGTTCGGCCCATCGAGTTTGTGCCGGCTCTTTGAAAAGAGCAATGTAATGTCAATCCCACTCCCCAGCCCTTTCCCCATAGCCCTGCAAACCCGACCTCCTCGAATACCCATCCACCGCGTTTTTAAAAGTTGTTATCAAATCAGCCTCCACCACCCTTTCAGGCAATGCGTTCCACATTCGAACAACCCTATGCGTGAAAAAATTTCTTCTCACCTCCCCTCTGCTTCTTTTAGATACTATTTTGAATTTGTGTCCTCGAGTCACCGACACACCCACCAGTGGAAACAATTTTTCCCTTTCTAACCTATCAAATCACCTCATGATTTTGAAAACCTCTATTAGGTCTCCTCGTAACCTTCTCTGCTCCAATGAGAATAATCCCAGCCTCTCTAGCCCATCCTCATAATCAAGGTCCCTCATTCCTGGTACCATCCTCGTAAATCTCCTCTGCACCCTTTCCAATGCCTTAACATCCTTCCTATAGTGTGGTGTCCAGAACTGAGGTCTAACCAGTATTTTATGTAGGTTAATCATAACCTCCTGACTCTTGCACTCTATGCCCCTATTTTTAAAGCCTAGTATCCCATATGCCCTTTTTACAGCTTTATCTACCTGTCCTGCCACCTTCAAGAATTCATTTACCTGAACCCCCAGGTCTCTCTGTTCCTTCACCCCCCTTGAGATTGTATTACCTAGCTATATTGCTTCCCCTCATTCTTTCTACCAAAATGCATTACCTCGCATTTCTCCACAATGAAATTCATCTGCCATGTGTCTGCCCATTTTACCATTCTGTCTATGTCTTCCTGCAGTTGGCTGCTATCCTTCTAACTGTTTACTATCCTACCTAACTTTGTTTTGTCCGCAAACTTGGAAATGGTACTTACTATATCCAAGTCCAGATCATTTATGTATATTAAGAAGAGCAGTGGTCCCAATACCGATCCCTGGGGGACGTCACTGTACACTTCCCTCCAGTCAGAAAAGCAGCCGTTCACCACAACTCTCTGCTTTCTGTCTCCCAGCCACTGTCCCTTTTATACCATGGGCTTCTATTTTTCTTACAAGTCTTTTATGTGGCACTTTGTTAAATGCCTTTTGAAAGTCCATATAAACTACGTCTACTGCACTACCTTCATCCGATACCTCATCAAAAAATTCTATTAGATTTGTTAGCGAAGATTTGCCTTTAACAAATCCATGTTGGCTGTCCCTAATTAACCCATATCTTCTAAGTGAAGATTTATTCTGTCCTGGATTATAGTCTCCAGGAGTTTCCCCACTACTGATGTTAGGCTGACTGGCCTTTAGTTCCCAGGTTTATTCTTCTGCTCCTTTTTATACAGGGGAGTAACATTAGCCACTCTCCAGGCCTCTGGCACCACCCCTGTATCCAATGAAGATTGAAAAATTGTAGCCAAAACCTCCACTATTTGAACCCATGCCTCCCATAGTAACCTTGGCTGCATCCCGTCCGGACCGGGCGACTTGTCTACCTTCAGCGCAGTCAACCTTTTCAGTACTTCCTTTCTGTTTATACTCATCCTATCCATTTCCTCTACCCTCTCCTCTGATACTGCGGTATTTGGTGCATCCACTTCTTTTGTGAAGATAGATGCAAAGTATTCATTCTGTACGTCAGCCATGCCCTCTGCCTCCACAATAAGATTTCCCCCTTGGTCCTTAATTGGCCCCACCCTACCTTTGACTAACCTTTTTTTTCTTGATATGTTTGTAAAATATTTTAGGATTCTCTTTAATGTTACCCGCTAACCTTTTTTCGTATAATCTTTTTGCTTCTCTTATTTTCTTTTTCAGTTCTCTTCTGTACTTCCTATACTCTGTTTGGTTGTCTTCTGTATCTTGGGTTTGACATTTGTCATACACCTTTTTTTGCTTCACTCTAGACACAATTACCTTCGTCATCCAGGGAGGTTTGGATGCCCTACTTTTCCCTTTTGTAGGAATATATTTGTTCTGTCTCCGAGCTATCTCATTCTTGAAGACTTCCCACTGCTCTTTAGTTGTTCTTTCTTTCCAGTCCACCTTGGCCAGGTCCCCCTTTAACTCACTGAAATTAGCCCTCTTCCAGTTGAGTATCTTCACCTTTGATGGTTCCTTGTCCCTTTCCATATGCACTCTGAATCTAATTATAGAATGAGTTTCTGAATTTGGCTGCCTGTCAGCAATCCTTTGGTGTCATTGTAAACCCACACCAATCATTTATTATTCATGCAATATAATTGATCCTATTCTTTGATAAAATCATGTGTACTGTCAAAATTACCTTTTATATAGATTAAAGACACTTAGTTCATCAAATCTAACCAATGAGGATCTAATGTAGAAATCTACCCAAATCATGTCACACCTAGTCCATGTTTATCCTTATAAATGCCTGCCTTCAGCGTGCATGTGATCTTTGTAATCCTTGGATTAATAATCGATTAATGACTAAATGTAGTTTCTGGACTGAAGTATATCTTAGATGTAAGGACTCTGCACATCAAAGTCCTGCTGAAATCCACCCGTGGTACATCTGTTTGTAATGTTTTATAATGCATTTTGCTGAAAACTTTGTACATATATTTTGTCAATTTCTAGATGTGGTTGCCACTTTTTTTGGGTGAAGAATCCTCATTATTTCACTGGTTAAGTCCAGTGTGGACACTTTTTTTAATTAGCACCAATGAAAAAAATTCCATAGAACAAAGAGATTAACCCTTATAATGGTCTGTATTTGCTGCTCAATGAAGCTATTTATCCTAATCCCAATTCTCATACCCTTCCTCTGCATATGCCTAAATGGCCTTCTCTACCTGTAATCTCACCTTTAATGTTCTATGTGTTTATATCCCCAGAATCCTTTGTTCTCTATTCATCTTCCAAAATGTACTATGGTTCAGTGGTTAAATTCACTGCTGAATATGGAACTAAGCCACATATCAGTTAGCTGTGTCCCTGGGCTAAGGGAGGACAGGGAAAAATTCAACCATGGTCCTATTCCTGATTGCTATTTAGTGACTCCTGCTGGAAAGTTCGTGCATGCAGATGTCAACGAGGACAGGATCAGGCTTGAACACAATGCCCCTTATGGCCAATTAGCTTACTGACATTCAATGGTTATTCTCACACTTGAAGAATGGCCACCTGGGCAACATCCCAATGGATTGCAAACATGAAAAGCACTATACCACAGGATGACTCACTCACTGCCTTAGGGAAAGAATTGGGAGGAAAAACACTATATACATGGAGGCAAGTACCTCTGATTAATGTTATACATTTATATTTTTCTTTATTAGGCTTCAAAAAGAAAATTGTTCTACTAATTAGGCTCCCTTCATGAATGGCTTACATTGTGATCAAATTATAATCAGGTTTGTTTTTTTACTACAGATGAATGCCAGATTAAAGCAAATTCCGCTTGTTATCTGCAGATAATAAAAGATATAATATCTTTTTAGAAAGCTACACAATATTTATACAAGCAAGGACAACCTGAAATACAAGTGATTTGATAACATAAATCCCTTTAGAGAACAAACATCCACTGTTCACTTTTTAAGACTCCTAAATTTTGGGGGTAACCTATTAAACAGCTGATTTCAGCAGAATCTTTCAAATTCAGTTCTGTCAGTCTGTTTTGCATCTGAAAATTGCATTGAAAAATTGGATCCATTTGGTTTAATTTATATTCTGTGCTTAAGGAGAAGTTCTCGACAATTTACTCTGCAGTATGATGGCATGCTACAGTCTGTTATGTAACAGTAGTTCTCACTTCATACTAATCTTACTTTGTTTAATTTTACACACATGTCCTATTACTGGACTTGGAAAAAAAATTGCATTGTGATTTCTATCCCTCTCATGCTCCCTGCCCCCTCACTGGGCACAAAATTCCACTGCTCACACATAATAAGATTTGCTTATCCTAAGTGGACACTGGCAAGGTTGGTAACTGTACTGAGCAGTGAAGCTTCACCCTTTATCAATATCTTTATGTAGGATATTGGTAGAAAGTGTGTGAGAGAGCTTTGACTTCCATATAATGGGGTAAAATGTGCAGTATTCTTTAACGCATTCCTTCATTTAATTAACTCTAGTGTTTTGGTGCTAACGACCGCCACAGTAAATGGTGTTTCGTGTGATCTTTCAAAAGGCTCGTGCTGAACCTGTTGCGATAACTTGACTGGCCACTGGTGGCAGTGTCCTGACCCCTTCCTCCGAGCATTCTGATTTTAAAACGGATTATGTCATTCTTATGTCTATGTAATTCTTATTACATAGGATGAGACGCTTTGAGATCAGTATATTCATGGGATATACTGATGTGGCTGTGTCTAGTTTGTGGGTGAATGCACAGCCCATTTGTGTACAGCAATGTGCACACAGTGATGGAGTGACTAATTTTATTTTGGGGGAAATAATAGATGCGTATTAAACGAAAATGAGTTAAACATGTCAATCTAGAGTCTCTTACTTGCTTCGTTGTTCCATTTCTTATGATTTTCTTGGTTAAATTGGCATTCCCCCCCTCCCCTCCCCCCACCCCCACAGATTAATTTTCCTGCAGTAAAAATTAAAATATCCCCTTTTTTTCCCCACAGAAGATAGATGAAGAAAATGAAGCTAATTTGCTAGCTGCACTCACGGAGACTCTGGACAGTATCCCAGTGGATGAGGATGGATTGCCTTCATTTGATGCACTGACAGATGGGGATGTGACCAATGTCAATGATCCCAGCCCTCCCTCAATGCCTGACGGCACCCCTCCAACCCCAGAGGCTGAAGAGCCATCTCTAGTAAGAATCCTTCCTACTGTTTACAAGAATTGGATGAGCCTCTGGCTACCCGCTGCATGGGTACGATGTAATCAAAATAAAGTTTGGGATTTTTAAATTGAGTCCACTGAGAAAGTAAACATTTAAGCGGAGATTAAAGCATTTTAGGGACAGTGACTTGGGAATGCTAAAGCTAACCACTTTCAATGGAGTGCACGTGCAGTGTGCTTTTTTTTAAAAAATGAACACTTTGCTTTCTGAACTGTTCTCTGATTTTGTTGTTTAAAAATGTAGATTCTGAGTCAAAAGATTTGTCGAACATGAATGGCAAATACTGCTATTAAGACGTGCATTTAAAAGTAGATTGTTTGTTCTCTAACAGTTCATTTTAATATTTCTCTTCCTCTCTCTTCCCACTGCCCCTCTCCCACCCCCCCCCCCCCCCCACCCCCTCACTTTTCTTGGTTGCATTTCTGTAGCTGAAGAAGCTCTTGTTGGCTCCAGCTAATTCGCAGCTTATCTACAACGAATGCCACGGAGGCAGCATGCGGACCCACGTGACCAATAATAACAAGATTAGACCAAACACTGCTGTTGTCAAGGTACACTTTATATTGTTATAAAAACTTTATGCCTAGGTTAGCAAAGAATATTTTATCCTTTAAAGGATGTGAGTAGTTGTGGGAACTCTAATGAACTTGGTATTCTAGAGTGAGTGAAAATCCTGATGGATTATTGACTTTGGTTTCCAAGAAAGCCGTGAGGATTACTTATTTTAATTCTATACATAACAATGATTCAGCAAGAGCGTATAGATTCCCAGCAGCATCTGAACTGAGCATCCGTGACATACTTAGCATTTAGACTGAGTTAATTAACATTATAATCATGGAACGTATAAGTATCAGTGAAATACCATTGTAGAGTGACATTGTAATCAGCTGCTGGTATTGTGTCTAAAGTCAATATTATACTATTGAGAAACAATTGTAGTGAATGCTGGATTCTTAACAGATTGCAGAAAGAACAACAAGTTAAACAGAATTCAAAAAGCATTGGGCTAGATTTTCTACAGGGTATCCACAGGGGTATTGGTGGAAAAAATGTAGCCAAATGCCTGAATTTTTCTCTGCAAGTGTTATCTTCAAAATGGAAACCTAGGAATGCTGCAGTGGATATCACAGTGTAGTTATCTTTCTTAAAGTGACACCACCTTCACAAAAAAAAGTTTGAGCGACTTTTTATTTGTAAACATACAATACGACGATGGAAAGTTGTGTCAAAATACAATATTGTGACACTTATACTTACATGACAAATCTTGGATGTCTTGGCTCAAACACCAAACCCTTTTGTTATGAAGCAGTGTGCCCAGCAGCTCCCAGCATTCATTTCTTGAGATATCCGGGGAACGAAATTCCACTGGTCAGTAAAATTGAAGGTGTGCACAATGAAAACATTTGTTAACATTGAGCAACCAAATTCATTTACATGACATATCACAATGTAGTTTTGGCCCATTTGATCTCATACCCGCATAATATCCACTCTACTATTTAACCATTACAGCATCAGCTGTTTCCTAAATGTATCTAGCGTCCTAGCATTTACTTCCTAATAATCTATTCATGTTGTTCAACATGCTCTGTCTAAAATAAGCTTGCAATGTGACCCTTAACAACCGAGTAAAACGATGCCCCTCTTGCTACAATTGTCTTTGTTTTTTTGTTGTTGACCTATTGTATAAGCAAAAAAACGATAAACACAACCTTGACAGGGGCACCTTTTTTTCCAAACGGGAAGAGCGAATGTGCTGAATAGATTGTATTAAGCACTTTTACTAATGTTGATGTTTCATTATGTCTTTGTAAGACTGAGGCTACATCGAGTAATAAGCCGAGGAACATTTGCCAACAACTGAAGTCCCAGGCACAGCGCCGTCCATGCACAGAATTGCTCAAGTACTTGACTGCAAGTGATGACCCTCCTCAGTCTAAATCAAATGACCACAAAACTAGTAGTAAAGACAAAGGCATCGCCAAAAAGAAGGTGCAAATGCAATCTCAACAGTCACATCCTCTGCAAGGTAAGAATAGGATGGCAATATCATGTTGATAGAATTGTATTGGTAGTAGTGCAACCAAACAGTTAGTATTGACTGTGAAGAACGTTGGGCCCTGGGCTTGTTGAACTGTATGTTAAAGTTGTCTTAGAACTGATGTAGTGCTACTACAGTCCATCCACAGCACCAGAGGTTTCCCAACATTATCAATGTCTTGATTTGCAATTGGTAGCAAATTAGTCCAAACATTAAATAATAGGAAGGCTCCAAACAATCTTTCGAAGTCAGCTAACAAAATATGTCAAAAAAAATCTCCTAGATTACAACATCCCGATTGATAATTTATGAAGGAAGTCAGGAAATTCACATATGAAAGACAGGCTCTTTGAACTGGATAGTCTGGTGAGCTAGACCACTGCTTTATTTGACTTTAGGACTTTGGTTCTAATCCAACCGAGACAAGATGGATCAGAGTAAGGTATCCTGTCTAATGGCAGTTAAGAGTTCCTAGTGAATTGGGTCACAGCAGGTTCAAACTTGTTCCCAGCTGGCATGAATCCAGAACATAAAGCCATCCTTCATTTGGCACGAGTTGAGCAATCTCACTCCTCGAGGCTGATAAGGATGGCTGGCATACAAAAGAACATTTCACATTGTTGTTGTAGAGGTGCCCTTCTCAGGTTGAATTTAAGGACATTGTTCGGACTTTATAAAAGGAGCTGAAACTACACTAACCAGTGCTATTCAAGCCTGCAAGTGCTCTGTGCTATCACGGAGACAAAGAGGAAATGTCCATTACTTTGTATTATCATTTAAATGAGTACAGAATTCACAACACGTATTAATTTACAATGCTTGAGCAGTGTTTAAGTGCAGTTATTGACGGTTTCCTGAAAGGGCAATATGTTTTTTGCTGTCAGTGAACGAAATTTCAGCAGATTTTCTCCCCAAACCATCAGGAGAGGAGTTTAGTATTTCATCAAAATAAATGCTCCTGGTGTGTGTTTTTTTAAAATCTATTTTGATACTTTAATGCTACAAAATCATTTTGAAGAGATTAAATTGATTTTTATCTGTTTTTCCCCAGTGCTAGACTGCTTTACATGATATTATCATACATATCACTCTGCAGTCTTTGATTATATCATTCCATATCATAATTATTGATGTCCGTATTCTCACCAGTCCAGAGATAGTGGGTCTATTATGTGAATTGTGTAAACTCTGTGTAAACCGTATGTCCAGCAAGAATTCCATGTGCCCATAATTAACCAGGGTTATAGATTCTATGGTACTTTTCATCAGTTGATAATTACATTATTGAAGACACTGGGAATTCTGTCTGTACACATTCATTTACACATGTTTTGCACAACTAGCACAACACACCTGTCCAAGTTGTAGAGTGGCATTCACAGTGTACTAATCTGAAATTGGATTACAAACAGTATATATAAGAAATTTTAAATGCAGTATTTTCTCATTTTGGTCTGTGCTAGCCTATAACCTTCATTTCCAGATACTTACTGTGGAGTGAATCAATCGGCACAATATTAACTGTTTTTCAGTATTGACTGCTTTTCTACTGGGGGGTAAGGTTGGGGTGGGGGGGGTGGGGGGGGAAGTAAGGAAGCATCTTTGTGTCTACTTGAGTCTTAATTATTTTATAATTTTATATCTATGTCCTTAAAGTCTTTTGAATGAACTCTAGGTCAGGTATAGTACAAATAGCTTCAGCGTAACTCATTGCCTCAGCAATATGCTTCAGTTCCTTCTTCAGAAGAACATTAGAACAACATATCCATTTCCAACAACACCCATCCTTAAGGCCTTAAGGAGTGAAATTGTCAATTTCATGCCATCTCGGATCTAGTCAAGGCTCTTATACACTCTGACCCCATGGTCGATGAAAGCTAATTTTGGCCAACTCAAACTCATTTTACCTAGGATCTTTACAACCAACAATAGGGAATACTTACAGCTTATTAGACTGAATTGTGTTCAAATCCAAGTTTCAATTTGAAAGGACAGTCTGCTAACTCATTGATCATTAGTTTCCCACAATTCTTTTATCAATCATGTGAATGACATAAATATGCATGTTTGATTTTTGCAAAATATGGGACTTTTGGCCCGTTCATAAACCACTAGTCTCCAATGTGCATCCTCTATGGATGTGTCACTGGCTTATCAATTTTGCTACTTAATAATACAGTAAAACTCGCACAAGTCGTCTCTTTATAAATTGTATAATCGCCTTTGACTTACATGCATCCGAGTCCCATTCAGTTTCCTACCAAAAAATGCTTAGATTTCTTAGCGCTAGTTGTATTTTATACGTTGGATAAATGTCTAAATCATAATGGTTTCCTGGTCCCAAATAATCCTAAATTCACTGCAAATCTCGACTGTGCCAATGCCCTGCTTGTCGGCCTTCCCTCCACAAGCTGCAGATCATCCAGAACTCTGCAGCTCGTGTCCTCTCCCACACCAGGCTCCGTGACCCCTTCACACCCACCCTCGCCTGGCTTCAGTGGCTCCCTATCCTTCAGAGGATCGAGTTCAAAATTTTTGTCCTCAACTTCAAAGCCCTATATGGTCTTGCCCCCTCCTACCTCTCCGACCTGCTAACCCCTTATCAATCTGTCCACTCCCTCCGTTCAGCAGGTTCCGGCCTGCTCCATGTCCCTTGCCTGGCCCGTCCCCGCCCATCGGTGGTTTGGGCCTTCAGCCTCTTTGCCCCCACCCTCTGGAACTCCATCCCACATTCCCTTTGCCTCGCTCCCTCCCTCCCTTGCCGCCTTCAAGGCACACTTCAAGGCCCTCCTCTTCGACCGTGCCTTCGGTCACCCTTCTATCCCTACCCTCCCTGCCCTGGTTGCCCTCTATCCTCCCCGATTCCAATCCCCTGCTCAGATCCTAAGTCCTGACTGACATCCTAAGTCCTTGGGATGTCCTTCCGACGTGAAAGGCGCTTTACAAATGTAATTTTGTATTGTATTGTAAATTATCTAACGTGTAATGCCACTACCACACTTACTGGCTGTATTGAAGTATGCGTGCACAGTGTTCCATTTGGAACAAGCATGGAAAACCAAGTCTTGGCCCGTCACCTCATGAGAACTTACCACTGAATTGAAATACGCATGCACAATGTTCCGTTTGAAACAATTGCGGAAATGAAATCTTGACCCATCACCGCATGTGCACTTACTGGCTGCAGTGTTGAAGTACCGCAAGCGCAGTATAGTACAGTGTACTCTGTTGAAACAAGCGCAGAAACCAAAGTCTTGATCCGTCATTCTGGCATCAGGCAATACAGATACTACTAAACACACGGTAATGACAAGGACTTTGTACTTGGTATGTGTTCGTTGTATAAAACCCCATACGATACAACTAATGCAAATTTGCCTGTAACTCATACTATATGTAAGTCATATTAAATGTTATGGTCCTGACTGATACGACTTATATGACTTTACCTGTATAACACGTAACTGCAGCTTAAAAACAAATTTTGCTTTTAAACAAAATTGTCATTGTACTGCGCATTGTCATTATGATGACAAAATTGTCATTATACCTTAAGATTATAATGAAAAGCAAACTGCTGACTTATGATTTATTGTAGTTATCTATTCATGAGTTTTGTTGCTGTATACAAATGGTAATGGGTGTGTCAAATTGCTTTTAGTATAATAAATGATAGTCACAAAATATCCAGCTAATTTTAAATGTGATACAATTCTTTTGCATTGATTTTCCTATTTCTATTATTTTCATTTTATTCTTTTCTTGGCAACCATGTGACTACTTCTCATTTTGGTTATAATTCCTTCTGGGAATGCTTTAAGGTGTTACAATTTTACTATGTATTGTGCATCAAGTGTTCTTTCCGATCATAAATCTTTGATAATGCATCAGCTGATTTATTAACATTGCAGCCAGTAATATGCTACTGAAGGGGTCAAAATAAATCTAGCGCACAGCCTAATAATTATAGAATAAAACAAAACTATTTCTTATACAGCCATAAATAAATGATTTCCAGTCCCCACGATATGCAAACATTTCTATGTTTTGGCGGTGTTTCTCCAATATTGAGATCATTACTGGTTTATTGCAAATGAGCATGATTTATTTCAATTCTTTGTAATTTTGATGATAAGATTTCACCTGAGGGAAACTAGTTAATCTTTCCATCAAAGTACACAGCAAATCATTTCTGTGCAGCTTCCCCCAATGGCTCGGTGAGTTAATGCAGTGAGTAGTTGAGTCATGTAGACTGAAAAGGTCTTGGGTTCAATCTGCAGTCTGTGCTGAGTTAGTCAATCTCAGTCAGGGCAGCAGGAGGGATGCTACAATAGGCTTTAGGGGTCCAAAGTTCAGAAGCAAAATTAGACATGGTTCCTGCTCCTAAATGCATTGATCCTATAAGGTGAAGGAGGTACTGGAGATACAAAGCGCCTTTGGAACTTTACTCACAGTATAAGGGAAAAGGGAGTCTTAATACACCATTAGGCAAGGAGTATAGGGAGAAACTTGATAACGACAGTAAAAATATCTTCCAATGTGCTCATTAACCTCTAGAATAACTTTGTGCACTTGTGGCTGTTTAATCGAAATGTGGCCCTTTATTTTGCTAAGGTATTCTTTTCATGTAATTGGCAAAATGCAACACAGAAAGGCAAAGCTAAAAGCTAATGTTTTAGGTTACCAGTAACTAAAGCATTTCTTATTTAAATTTTGCAGCTAGACCAACTACTTTGTCCCTGCCCCTGACACCTGAATCAACAAAGTAAGTGTTTCTTAGAAAATTGTAGGATTTCTCATATTTGAGTGAAGCATTGTATTTGAAATTTTTAGATGCAAATCGATTAAGCAACTGAAGGAAATTAAAAATAAACATATATTTTTCAGTGATCCCAAGGGCTCCCCTTTTGAGAACAAGACCATTGAACGTACGCTGAGTGTACAACTCTCTGGTACTCCAGGTAAGACATGATAGTTTCCTCCATCTGTGCATGGTTAAGCTGCTTTGATTGAGAGCCTCCATTACCGTAGCAGAGAACTATATTCTTCAAAAACTGGAGTTCTGCACAAATAACAGGGTATACAATGCAACCATGTGATGAGCAAATTTCTGCTATAGTGAAGCGCGTTATAGCGAGGCCACATTGCTGTACCAAAAGTTGTCTGAGACCATAATATTGAAAAGGGAATTGGATAAACAATTGAAGAGATTAGAGTAGTTATCAACATAGAAACATGGACATTTTCTGCACAGATTTGTGCCTTAGGTAGCACCATTTTAGGTTTCATGGGCTAAATGGCCCTCTGTGCTGTAATTTATATGATTTGATTCTGTTTAACATAGGAAAGACGATTACTATAAATTTGACAACTTTTCAGAAGGTTTTTCCCTAATGTGTTCTCCATCCAGTTTTCAGCCACAAAATTTCCCAATCTTGACTTAATTTAATGAATCCTCACCCTTCAGGTACAAGGTATCTAGGCAGCATTTTTGAAAAGATACGGTCCTATTTGATAAAGGCATACATTAAATACAAAAGAGTAGCTCTTTTAGAATGGACCACAGGGGAATGTGCCCAACAAAATACTGATAACAGAATAACAGAATATTGCTCTTCTTATTCATAACATTGTTTTTCCATTTCATTTAATATAATTGGATCCAAACCGTTAAAAGAGACTTTCTAATGTAGTTATTGATTTTAAGACAAACCTAAAGTTCCTAATGAAAAAATAAAGCATTCATTTTCAGTTTGTGATATCATCATCTTTAAAATGATGATTAAATTGAAAGCGCTTTTTATTGTGCAAAGGAGATATTTTGTTTCTCTCTAATGATTAACAATGAGAGACAGCCAGTCACTACGTGCTGCTTCTAGGCCTAGATTCCAGCTTTGTTCTCTCATGCAGATGCTATACATATCAATCATAAAATAAAGGTGCAAATGGCACATCAAATTTTATAACAACACATGTGAGCACACAGACTGTGATAAATTTTTGTTAATGCACATTTCATCATTTCCATAATTTATTCAATATTTCCATTTAAATGATTTATCACAAAGCTCATGTTGTGTAAACAAAAATACTCAGTAGGGAACTTTCGAATACAGAATAGAATTGTCTCACGAGGCAGACCTTTATAACTTTCTCACTTGGGAATTACCTTCTGCATCCAAACTTCTCCACTGAGTATTCACTGTAAAGTACATGGGGATTTCAAATATAAGTTACTAAATCTGTTGAAATTCTTTCCTAGCCATCTTGTGGTATATGTGTGTGGGGGGGTGGGGGGCAATGAAAATATTTCAAAACATACTCTTAAATTCTTCCGTTCAAACTAGCAGAATCAAAAATACAAAGGTATAAAAAATATTATACAATCATAAAATATTAACAGACCAGGAAGAGGTCATTTAGCCCTTTGTGTCTACTCTGCTGCTATGTCTTTCACTGATTCATTCACCTGTGCTTTGCCCATAGCCCTCAATATTTTTTCCTCAAGCATTTATCCAGTTGACCAGTGATTCTCATTAAATTTGTTGGTATATTTAGCGGCATTAGTGGGGAGGGCATTTTATTCTGCACTGGCTGGGCTGCTGAACATTGGTAAGTATACCCGCCATCAGACAATGAGATTTGCTGCCCTGTGTACCAGTGACTTGAGATTCATCCCATGTTAATTATGATTCTTTGAATCTGAGGTGGAATTTCTTGCTGCCAAATTATGTTGCTACATTTTGTCATGTGGGGACATATTTTTCATTGGTGGTATGTTTATCTGATAATGGCCACTATAGTTTACTGGGTAGAGAGTTATGGATTGGGGTGGAATTCTACTTCTGTGTCCAAAATAAACTGATCTCCTCAGCTGTTGCACGGAAATGATGTGAATGCCTTCAAAGTGACTTCAACAGTTTCTACCAAGAAAAATTCAAGGAGCACTGGGCAATTAATTTGTCCATTTGGTATTTTTTTTCCTCTGATATATATGCTATGGCTATGTTTTGATTTAAGATTTTTTTAAAAAATCCAATGCAAATTAGCATTTTTCTCCATTGGATTCCAAATGTCATGACCATTTGGAAGCCTGTTCTCAGAAGGTGGTGTGACTTATTGCTAGTAGAATACCACTAGGTTGCCCTCTTGTGGACATGTCTTCCCCATTTGCTGAGTTACCTTAGTTGCTCCCTGACCCTGTTTATTCAGGCTGCGACTGGATTTTCTGATTTTCCTCTTATCATTTTTGTTGCCACCAATGGGAAAACCACACAACACATTGTAATGATTCAAAAAATGGGAATGTCCAACTCTGAAATAATGATGCATTTTCCTTGTAATTTTTTTGTAGAAGCTTATTGGGCAGGCTCAGTCCCTGTGTTGTGCAGAGCCAGTGTCCTTCAAAAACAAAAAAAAGAAACACAATCCTTTCATTTGATATCACGCTTCATTGCACTTTCAAAGGTTTAGATTCCTGTGAAGTGTATTGACCCTGTGTTTACAGACGAATGCGGTAGTCAATTTGCCTTGAAGTGAATTACCTTTTTTTGGCGAGGACACTGGTAGAAACTCCCCTATGGGATCTTATACATCCTCCTGAAGAGGCAGATAGGACCTTGTTTTAGTATCTCATCCAAAGAACGGCACCTGTGACAATGCAGTTCCTCCCAAAACTGCATTAGAGTGTCAGCTTAGACTACGAGATCACCGGTAGCAGAATTTATGCAGCAACAGTCGTAATACTCTGGCAGCAACCACAGGAAACCAACTACCTTTTCTTTCCTGCTATCCATTTGTGTGGCTTTTAAAGGTCCTTATCTTCATAAAAAAGAGAAACCTTTAACTGTTTGAAAAGGAAGCAAGAAGAGGCAAGTGCCATCATTCTATATAATAATGTTGTTTTGCTTCAGGTTTTTTAAAAGAAAAAATATATTTTCAAATGTTTTGTCAATGTCTTTTTTGCAAAGGCGATTCCCATTTAATATCACAGAAGTGTTTATAGAAAATCTTTGACAAATAAATTAGTTTTAAAATGAATTCTCTGTGACATGAGACCTTTATCTGCAATAGTTTTGAATTAACAAAGCCTATAGGACCCTTAAAGTTACAATATTATTAAGAATAGTTCTGAGTTAAAATTTCACTCCTGACCAATTGTGAGGAATGACAGTACATTAGAGAATATGCTGTAGAGAATGAGTCCCTTACGTCCAATATTCCAGGTGTTAATGATCAGCTGGAACTCTCCACTCAGAACCAATATTTTAAGCATTTTAAAAGTTAGTATTTAACCTATTGAATTTTGGAAATAGTCAGCAAATGAATGATTCATGGCAATTTTGCAATATCGACAGTGCTTGCCTCCATGAAATGAAAAGTGATATGTTTTATAACAAGATTCAAATGTGTTAATGAATCTGTTGTGAAATATCTCTTTTTTTATCCATTCTTAAAGATTGGCACAGGTGTGATTTCCCACCCCCTCCACCAATATCAGCTTCTCAAGAAGAACTTTAAAAAGATTTAGGAGTGTTGGTTGTCTTGTCACTCAAAATGCTCAAATATTTCTGAGATAACAATAAATGGATGAATAAAATGATGGGCTCGATTACAAAATCAGTTAAATTCAGATTTCCGGAAATGATGCTCAAACTCTGGTTCCGTGGTCAGCATGCACCTAGAATATTGTGCAGTGTACCCTGACATATGTTTATTACCCTAGAGACAATACAGAGAACGTTGAGGCTGATTCTTTGTAGAAGAGGGATGAGCTATTAGAAATAACTAGATAAGGTAGAGCGCTAAAAACAAGTGTCTGAGAGGTCTTCTGGAGGTTCATAAAATGCTTGTTGGGACAGAAAAAGTAAATTGTATTATTTTCAGATATAACAAAGCAGCAGAACAAGAGGCACAATTCATGGTGTGATGAGGAATTTTAGGACAGTATTTCTTTAATCAATGAAAACAACGATAATGAACAATGACAACAGTTGATGCTTATATATTATGTTTCTTGCAGGAGGCAGAGTGGGAGTGCAAATTGGGTAGAAAATTAGAGTGTAGGTAAGAGAAGGGGCAGTCAAACAGAGATTTTCAGATGGATTTTGAATGAAAGAGGAAGCGAGGCAGAGAGATTTCGGAAGAGTCCGGAGGCGGAGACAAATGACTGAAAGTTTGACCACTAATGGTGGGGTGGAGGGGAACAATGAAGTAAACCAGAGTTAGCGGAGCAGAGAAAGTGGGTCAAGGAGTAGAGCCGTGGGAGATCACGGTACAGTGGGCTATGTGGACAAAATGTGTGGACCAACATTTGAGAGTGGAGGGTCTTAAAAGTTGATCCGTACAGTTACTGAGAAGGATGTAGGAGACTAATAACGACTCTTGACTTGTGAATGATGAATCCTTTAAGATAAGAGTACAGGAGCTTTGCTGTCCATGTGGCAACATCATACTTGATCTGGGAGTGCCTGATTCCAACACTGAGTGCCCAAACTGGAAAATATTCCATTCCATTTCCCTTGACTGACATCTCTTGCTTTAATGAGCATAAAATTGAAATGCTGAAGCCCAGAAGCCTGATAGACTTAATTGTCTGCAATTGCCAATTTTATTATAATTACATGAAGTTATTCATAATGGAGATGATTAACATTAGTAGTTAAGTCATAAAAGTGTTCCGGTTTAAAAATAGTTGGCTATTTGGCTTAATGTAACAGTGTGAATTCGGTCTCCGCCATTGTAGTAGTACTGAATGCATTGGTACACATTATACACACTGCTACTGCAACAAATGGATCATTTATTCTAGTGCTACTATGGGGATGGTATATTGCCATCCAGAAGTAGGAACACATGGGAGTGGGGGATGGGATTGCTTCAACAACAAAATTAAATTTGCATAGCGCCTTTCACGTCGGGAGGATGTCCCAAGGTGCTGGACAGACAGAGTTTTGGACCCAAGCTGAGGGTCGGGATTGGGTAGGGTGGAGGGCAGTGGGGGCACGAGGGTGATCAAAAGCTGGGTCGAAGAGGAGGGTCTTGAGATGGGTCTTGAAGGAGGCAAGGGAGGGGGCGAGGCGGAGGGACTGCGGGATGGAGTTCCAGTGCCAAACACTGCCTTCTACTTGAAGAGGCAGTGTTTGATTTTGTAACTGTCATAGGCATTCAGGTCCTTCCTTTAACTCTCCACCCAATAGAGAAAATTTGCTTCAACCTGGCGTCCAGACCACAAGACTCTTGTTCTGAATTGTACAGTCTGTTAATTACTTTAATGCACTACCAGACTTTCAGTGTATGAGGTGCTATAAAAATGCAAGTTGCTTTCCCCAAATGCTGGCTGGTGTGAATAACGTTTGCACTTGGAACAGTACGAGCACATATCAGTGAATATCAGTGAAATATTTTAAATGGTTTTCAAAACTCATGTGATCAGATTTGTTGAGTAAACAAACATTTGAAACAATCATCTAATTTGGAGTAAAATCATTCTGCAATTGTACCTATCAAATTATGCTAAAGTTGTAACTAAATTACATTATAATTACATCCAGTTAGTCATAACCACTGTTTTCACCTTCTATTGTTTTTTCCATTATTAAATCACATTTTTTTTCAGTGTGAATATTATTCCTCTCAGGCTTCAGTACTTTTTCATGCATACATAAGTACCAGTTGGAAGTTTTTGTCAGGTGTTATCCATTTGAACTTCCTGTTTGATGGTACAGTACTAATTTGGTGCTGGGATTAATATTCACACTTTAACAACTGGTATATGTCACATTATTTTCCTTGCAGATTTCAAAATACTTGTTTGTGCGTCATCTGTTTTTTTTATTTTTGTATAAACTCTACAAACTGTGGCATGTGCACCTCACATGCTTTTCTTCCTAATTTATCCCACAATAAGTAACCAGATTTTACTCTAAAAGTAAGTCATTGTATATTTAAGGTGTCAGTGTCCTGTGACTCTTTTAAGAGGTTTCTTAGTGCTTTGGTTGAAATTGTGATTCTGTCCTAGCAATGTTGGAAAACAAGTGACAACAGTTTTAGGAGCAATTGGATGTTGGCTTCTTTTATGCTGCTTCCTATATAAATCAATATAAACCTGCTGGATTATATTGCATCTGGAATGATTGTAAAAATGAAAGGGATTGAATGGATGATTCCATAGAAGTTATTCACCAAAATGCAATGTAAATTGTGCTGAATAGTTACAATTAGTCAATCACATCTAAAACTTTATAACATTACATTTCTATACTTCTATACTCTAGGCATCAAGCAAACCATATTTTTCCTCTTTTTTCTAAAAGTACTGAAAGGAAATGTAATCAATAGTTGACACTGGTGATTGATGCAGAAATATAATGAGTTAGATACTCGTCAACTGGCTTTCAATGAGTTCTTTGGTGGATTAATCACAATTGATAGTACATTGTATTTCCTAAAATTTCATATGTATTTATACAAAGTCACACAAAGAAGCTTTATGAATATTCTGACCTGTGGCAAGTGAGTTGAATGGCGGAAATCACTACAGTATAAAAAATGGGCCTATTTGAATACTCAGTGTTCAGGAATTGTAGCCTAGGGGTTCCTTGTGACATCTGACAAGTGGTCCACTAAATCTATCTAAAGCAAACTAGAATAACAGGGAAGGATATTAGTTAAGTTTCAGTATAAGATATCATTTGCCTATATTCACAGAACTCTTGAAAATATGAATACTAATGTGAAACACACACAAGTAATACTCTAGAATGAATGGCACATTTAAAAAAATAGGATTCATTTAGAAAATTTTAAGCTTCAATGACATTGTTTACGCAAAATGAATTTCCCAACACAATTACTGTCTGTGTAATATATATCAGCTATTTGTTACTTAGTGCAGCGTGCAGCGTGAATGCAACCAGAAAAGAGGCGGCAATGGAATAATAACCCAAATTACATTCCATACAATGTTGCAATGCAGGGCGTTTGTGCGTGTATAATGACAGGGCTATAAACTGCTGGTTGCCAGCCTTCAGCATAGAACAGCCATCTGTCTGCATAAATCTATCAGCAGTGGTGAGCATCATGAGGTATAGAAGATACAGTAAGAAATATTTAAACACTGCAGATTTAACAAGTTATTCTATTAGCAATATTCCATTTGCTGGTTTGAACAAAATCATACAGGGCACTTAGATAAGACAAACAAAGAATGAATGTTTCAGTGAGATCCATGTATGCACTATTTTGTAAAAGGAGATCCTTTATAGTCTTATACGGCTGCGTATATTGGTGCAAATCTGAAGTGAATACTATATCATTTATAAAACTCAGACTACATTAGTAGCACTTCATTTAAATAATGAACAGCAATGAGACAGGAACATTGTAATCAAGTCATTTAGAATCTGTTGCACTCTGCATTAATGCAAATTGTGCTGTCAGCCACACAAGGCAGCACTTTACTCAGTACATCACAATGTGATTAGCTTTCGGTACCTGGTTATTTGAAAATGCCCAGTGTTTCGAAATGCTCTTAATTCTAATGGTTAGCTTTCAATCACTGACTGGTGTGAAAAGATATGCTGTCATTTTCATTTCAGGTCTAACTCCACCAACCACTCCTCCACACAAAGCCAATCAAGATAATCCCTTTAAGACTGCAGTCAAACATAAGGCTACTTGCAGCTCTTCGGTACGCAGCCCACCACCAAAGAAATCACGCTTAAGTGATTCTGCCTCTAATCCTCCGCCAAGCAGTCCTGCAAAGAAGGATCCCGAACAAACTGAACTCTATGCCCAGCTTAGTAAGACTTCAGTTTTACCCAGTGCACTTAGCCTTGGCCGAAATGAGGAAAGGAAAATGTCTCGGTCAAGCACACGGCTCTTTGGTGACCATGACTACTGTCAGTTTATAATTGCAAAGGCAGAATCTCTAAATATCAGAGATCCCTTCAGATCCCAAGATCCCAAAGACATTAAACTCCAAGGCTGCAAAGACCCCTTGTCTAGGCAGCAAACACAAAGCATTCTCTCCGTCAGTCAAGTGTGCAGCAAAGAAAGTCAGCAACATAATATGCAGCCCGCTTCCTTCTCTAATAGCAAGACACAGCTAAAAGACCAAGAAATCCGGGCTGAACTAAACAAGCACTTTGGCCATCCTAGCCAAGCTTTCTTTGATGAAGTAGAAGATAAGGCAAGCCATCAACGAGAAAAAGACTTTTGCTTTGAATATTATTCCAAGCTGCCTGCATATCTCAATGCAGGGATGTCTATGGACGGTGTGTTTGATGAAAGTGATGATGAAACGGACAAATTTCTCTATCCATGGGATGGAACACCAGATGGGTTCTTGTTAGAAAGATCTTGTTCTCATTCTTTGTCCAGCTCCCCAGGCAGTGATTCTGTCTCCTCAGTAAAGGCTTTTGCCTCTTTTCAAAGAACACGCAGGACAAGGTCTAGATCTAGGTCTTACCCAAGATCTCGAGCTTCTTCTCGCTCCTCCTGCTCTCGTTCTCGATCAAGGTCTCCGTACTGCAGATCCTCCTCCAGGTAAGGAAATGCATTTTCTTTCATCTCTTTGAATTGGATGGGAATATCTACTGTTTCTAGAAATATTAAAGATAAACAATGAGATCTGATTTGTGATATTTCTGAAGAAGAATCCATTAGAATTCTGTTGGTCTACAGGGATTTTGCTCTCTGGAAGTAGATCAAAGCAGAGTTCCCAGGGTTGGGCGTTGATGAATTTCTGTTTAGCGGAACGAGTCATCATTTTGCACGAACAGAAATTCCAAGAAATTCCAGAAATCTGTTCAGAAATTCCACAAGTTAGACTCCGACATTTCTACTAGTGAAACATCGATAACTCAGTCAGATCAAGCAATATTTGTTGTACAACCTGAGGATAGTGGTGAAACAAGAAACTTAAAAAAAGGGACAAATTCATGTCAACAAAAAAGATTCAGGGTTGTGAGATTTCTAGATATGCAACAAAGGATCTCTGAGAAATTGGATGAGTAGACTTAATTGATTCATGGTCTACTCTAGTCTGCAATTGTTGCTATGGGATCTAACATGTAGCAATTTCTAACAGGATTGCTTAATAAGGAAATGAAATGGAAATGACTTCTGATAACTGGAAGTATGACTATCTGAGCCGTGGGAACTATACTCCAAAGTAAATGGTTTTGGAGGGGAGCTAATATGATGCATCAAAATGCAATTCCACCATGATGCAATTCCAGTTTCCTGTTAGAATTTGCTCTCTATTGGATCCTGAGGTTACACATATATTTTATCTTTATCATTTAAATCTTTACCATCCTAACAATGAAATTATAAAATGTGCAAAAGAATGTTGATGAGGTGATCAGGAATGGCACTTCCCCCAGCCACTGATCTAGCTTTTGCACCATTTGGTAATGGAAACGTATTAATATGCTGTACATTAGGTATCATGTTTCCTCGCTTTCTAACTGAAAGGTACTTCCCCTGGAGCTTAGATGAGTTTTCCTCTCTTCATTTTATTGCTATCAGTTCAGTGGCAGAGATAGATTTATTCCTGCCATGGTGGTTGGCTTCCTGGATGCCTGACATGACTTATGAAATAACCTAAATGTAGAGTGCTTTACAGGACAATATTTAACAGCACCAAATTGAGGGCCGGAGGAGAGATGTACATGCTGGCAGGTTAAGTGACCATAATGTCAGCTCATTGGACATCATAAATGAAAGGAATATATAGAATTCATAAGGTAGTGATATTTCTATCTGCAATAAGTTTGCTGGGAACTGTTCACATTCATTCAAATGCCATGCTCTATTTACATTGCCATAAATGAGACCCTTAATTCAGGTATTTCTTAGATTAGTGGCCATTTATCCTATCACATAGAGATAGCTTTCTTTACTGGAAAGTTTTGTGCATGAGCACTGAGTTTGAAATCAAAATCGTGCTTCATAGATAATACATTTTTTAAGAATTATGAAAGTTAATGAAAGTTGATTTGGGATGATTTTTCTTATTGACAATTGATTAAAAAGAAATAGAGGACAATAATAATAATAATAATAATCCTTGCATTTGATATAGCGCTTTTCACGTCGGGAGGACGTCCCAAAGCGCTTCACAGAAGACACTGTAAAGTGAACTATATATTTGTGGGCGAACGCGGCAGCCAATTGCGCACAGTAATGTCCCACAAACAGTCGTAGATTGAAAATAACCAATTTATTATTGTTTTTGTTTTTTTGGAGGGATTATTATTAGGCGTGTGGAGTAAGGAAACTTGCCCAAGGTTTCGCCCTGCCTGGAATTGAACTCAGGTCTCTCACTTGCAAAGCGAGTGCTCTAACCACTGAGCTACAGGACTCCACAAACTTGCCAACTAGGAATATACATAGGATTGAGACAGAACTATTTCACACAAAAAATAATTGATGTATTGGGTATGGGAGAAGTTATTGAAGGAAGCAGTAGAAGCTGTTTCAGGAGGCAATGAGATGTGTTTCTAGAGAAAAGAGGATGGATGTGGCGAGGAGGAGGAAAGGTATGGTACCACAATGGTGAAGGTCTATTGCCTTTCTCCTGTACATTTGTGTTCTTTATATCAATGTTCATTCTGGAACATTGATAGAAAAGAAATCTGCTGTTTGACCCAAGAAGGGTAATACAGAGAACAACAGGACAGTGGCCCCGTGCCAAGACAGAACCAGGAAAGATTTTGGATTGACAATGTTTGACCAGATGGTTGAACATGAAATACTAGCTGACATAAACTTGCATCATAAATGGGGACTTAGAATAGTCTACAAGCTTTCTAAAGATAATTAAGGAAGCAGACTCTATAGCTTGCTGCTATCTTTAGCAATGGATTCCAGATTGTCTACTGTAGTAGATTACATGATTTCATTAGAACTAATGATTTAACCATAGAAATATGGGCATCCAGGCTTTTGTAGTTATTTTAAATTGTTTTATTGCAGTGCATAGAATATTGAACCGAGAGATAACTTACAACATCTGCGTCCTGTATTGAAATGATCTTTGCTGTTGATGGCGGTGATTTCATAGCTGACAGGTCACTATGCCATTCTTACGTTGTGAGTGATGTAGGTAGTTGAGTTCAACCTGGATCAGTAACAGGAGCCTCACGTAGAGAACAGAAGAGGTGAGTGAAGAGAAGAAAGGGCACTGAGTGCATGTCATTCAGTCCCTCAAGACGCCATGGTCCGTCTGGCCAGACTTCAGGCTGCAGCTAATCTAATGACTTCCACTGGAAAGCAGATTTTATTCATTACCCAGAAATGCTGCTTTACAATTAAAGTGTGTCTCGATGATTCTGAGACTGAAGTATAAATAACTTTTTGTTCAGTTTCATTTCTATTAGGTACTTTTCTCATTGATTCACTAATTGCTTGTTTTTGTTTATGTCTGGCTGGCTGTGTTAACCACTTCTATGAATAGAATCCACAAATGTGATCATCTGGTGTATGGCGATTTCATAATATAATTTATATACAATTTTTTTAAATATTTCTCTCCCGCCCCCCTCCTTTTGTTATTTTCCCTCTCTTTGTTTGCCCCTCAACCCTCCTACCATGCCACAACATTTCCTGACTGAGCAGCAGTCTAATGTTGGGCTTTCCTGCTCTGTAACCAGCTGCCAGGAGCAGCCTGGGTTGACTTGTGCTCTGTGTTTTACTTTACATGGGGTAAGTGCCTAGACTCCTCTCAGCACTAGCCCCAATGCCCATCTCCCAAACTGCCTGCCCGAGAACAGGAGCATAGCGTGTGAAAAATCCTCAGCGTATGCCCTTGCCCTGCTTCCCTCTGGCTTAATAAATTCTGAAGAGATTTTAATTTTCGCCAAATGATTTGAAAAATTTCTGATTGCTATTAATTTCAGTGACATATTTACATTTATTTTGCTTCATAGATCACATCAATGCTATGATTCAGGGCGCAATAGGGTACAGCACAGGTCCCGTGGAAGCCCTTGCTCATATTCAAGGTCATGCTCCAGGTCACCCTGTGCCCGCTATAGTAGACCCAGGTGAGGGAATGTACTAGTGTAATATATTTTACTGTGCTCTATTGTGCCGAACCTTACTTTAACAACTTTTAACATTACAATGTACTTAATGAGCTCCTGTTCACACAGCAATTATTTTACCTGGATTAAAACGCAAAGTCAGTGTCACATGGTTCAAAACTGACGCCAGGCCTGGGGCCCAGAATTTTGGGCTTTTTTTGGCTTAAGACAATTGTGTTACAATTTAAGATGGTGCGGACTTTTGGAAAAGGTAATTGGAAAACAAAATTCAGTCATAATTTGGAAGCTGTTTTTCTACAGTTCTTTTAAGGAACAGGGTACAGTAATATTAGGAAGAAATTATAAAGGGATTTGGATGGGTAGATTAGAGGGGCCAATGGTCTATTCCTGCCTAACATTGTTACTATAAAACAGTGTATCCACTCTCTTCTCTCGCTGTCTCTCGTGAGAGTAGGAAGGGCTCAAAAAGAGCAGTCAGGTGGGTGGACTTGGGCACACACGGAATGAGCAAGATGAGAAAAATGGTCTGTCTGTCAATCAAGTGCTGAAATCCTCCACGTGCTGACAAATTATCTTCAGAGCTATGTGAGCATCCAGTTATGCTGAGCCGTGCTACCACCTGCATTTCCCTTATGGAAACTTATCCTCTCCTCACCAACAGCTGCTATTTTATGTGAAGAGAGTCCAGACATTCTCATCTCAGTTATTAGTCATGAGGCCACCAAAGGAAACAATCCATAATATGGTCTAGTTGGCACTAAATCTTGCTAATCTCATTCCATGGCTGGGTTAGAAAGAGCATTAATCATTGGTGCAGCAGGGAGTGTCCTTTTGAGACTGAGGGTGCTAGTGCACTCTTAGGACAAAGTAAGAAACTGTGGCTCTGCACCTAACTGACACTGAACCCAACTTTAGAGTCGGTGGTGCTTTTACTGGTTATTTAAAATGAAAAAGAATTGCATTTGCAGCCTTGACACTTCTTACCTTGACAAACACACATTTTCTCTAAAAATCAAACTATAAAAGCATAAAGCAGTTGACAGATTCCATGAAGCAAGGGCACTGTTATTCCAGGACAGCAGTAAAACAATTGCTGTGTCAATGGGTACTGGGTTTATACCAGTTCGACACCTTAACGTAAATCATGAGTTGGTGCTGTAGAGATTAATTGAAGTTGTTTTTTGTGGGTTCTTTTCTATCCTCTATAACTGACCTACTTCTGTACTGTTTGATCAATACTGAAACATTTCACAGTGACAATATGATTAAACAAGCTTTTCTGCAATGAGAAAATTGCAGTTTCAGTGCAGCACACATGAACCATGGGCAGAAGGTGCTGAAACAAATCACATTATTAGATTTGCAATGGCACGTACCTGGGCAGCATAGTGATAGTTTGCTGGCGCACAAGTGTGCTGTGCCCTGAAAGGGTAGGATGCAGATTCACCCGTGCAGTTCCTTGCCTTGTGAGTGACCAGCCTCAATAGGGGGTTCAGGCAGAGTCACACCCAGCAGAGTTTAGGGGCTTTTTCCCACAGGAGTGGAGGTGAATGAGATGCCCTGTTGATTTGGTCTTCTCATACCCATCTGAGCGGCCATTTACAAAACTGCAGAGGCTTGGCACCATTTGCCTATTTATTTAGCTGCAAAATAGAGCGTAAGAGATTCGAAAGGGAAAACTGGACAAATAAAATTAAACGTGTGGCTCACTTGTAAAGTTAGTTGCTATAGAATGGTATCCTGTTTTTTTGCCAAACAGCATAATGAATGGTTGGTTCAGTATCATGTAACCAAACCTGCAACAGGAATTGTAACCAAAATGTCAGGAGTCACTTAGAATTTAGCTGAAATCCAATTATCAACAATTTGCTTATATCTAGAAAAGATATATCCTCATGTATATTATTTGACCCATATAAATAAATGCATCAAATAAATGCTTTTATCACGACAGTGTAGTGACATAATATCATCACATCTGCCTATTTCCACGCATTATTTGACATTACATTTACCTTTGATATACAGACCTAGTTTATCTGTGATTCATTGAACCAAATGTTTTAGGTTCTAAACATTAATTTGGGGGTAAACCATATTCATTATAATCCTGCTGCCTCCTAATCTGAAAACCATCCATTCCAAACCTGAATTGAATGAACTTTATATAGCGTTGTTTTCTACTCATGAAACTAAAAGAGCTGTTCATTACATCAAGCTGTCTCGCACCTTCCCATGAGACATTAGGCCTTATCTCTGTGGGAGAAACAGCGGAAGAGATGACGACACATGTGAACTGCATTTGCTCCGAGATTTCTGTGTTGCAGAAATGACAGCTGTGGGTCTGGAAGCTGAACAAGCAAATACTGCTTACAAAGGCATGACAGCATTTGGACAGACTTAGTTTGGGTCTGTGGATGGCCCATCTATTTGCAGTGACACTTGGAGAGACTGGAAGAAGTGACTATTTGGAACCATACAATCGTCTATCTTAACCCATTATCCATCTGGGCAAGAGCAATAATATGGAAGTAGTCCGAAATCTGAGAGTGAGTGGAATGAATTCTGAGGGTATCATTAATATGATGTTGTACTCACTGAGAAAGGATGGTATTTCGTAAAACAGATGGGTGTTGCACACCGAGAATATAGATAGGTGTATTCTATATATATATATGTATATACATAAGAACATAAGAAATGCCAGGCGAATAAAGACCAAGGTCCATCTAGTTTGCCTTCCAGCTTCCTTGCGGTCGCATGAACATATGTCATGAACTACCTATGTACTATATCCCATAATGTTATTTCCTATGAATTTCCAGAATATCATTAGATCTAATCCTTCCAAAAAATTCTGATGATCTATCAAAAATATTCCTGGTCTGGTGAAACTATGAGTGTTGATCACACTGCTGTCATCACTACAACCATGAGATGTTTTTAGGGGTTGTACATTGTTTTGCTTAAAACCATTGCCTTAAAATGTAAGATTGTGCAGAATTTTGGAAAACAATCTTAATTTTTAAGCCACTTTTCTGCAGTAAAAGAACTGTGTTTCAAATTAAGTCTGAATTTAAGACCATTTTCCAAAATTACCAAAATGCAATCTTAAATTTTATGACAATAATCCTAAGACTAATAACAATGTAGAATTTCAGGCTCCTGATATGTACAAAGTAAATGAAACTGGTTATTGGGACCCGAAATAGCACATTAGCATCCGCAATGATCACAAGTGCTAAGATTGACAGTTACTCTGCTGTAATGCTGATGGCTCTGACAAGACAAAGGCATTTGTTATTGGCACTGAATCCGCAAGTGTTTAAATAGGTTCTTGGATCCAGAAATGTTGCTTTCGACACAGGGAAGCCAGAAAAGGCATGAGCCGCAACCTTCGAGTTCAAAGATTAGCTGCATGATTTAGATCGCTCCATTTATTGGCAACAGTAACATGTCATGTTGCCTGTGGATAATGTAGCTACATGTAACCAGATAGCATGATAATTCTGCTTCTAACATTTGCCACAAAACACCACAGTGCCCATGCAGCCAATAGACGCTGGTATCATCAAAAGCTTTAAATGCTTTTACACAAAAGGGAACCTTGTAGGCATTGATTGTAGAGAATCAATGCAGGGACTTAGTGAGTCTTTGCTAGGCTTTGCTCTTTATCTTCAGTTGCTGACTATCTGTGACTCTCCTTACCATCAGCAACTGCTGGAAGCATGTGCACATCATTCAGGTACCAGCTGCAGCTGGTGACATGGAGCCAGCAGTACATGAGCCTGAAGCTGCACTGGCCTGTCACTGAGGATCTGGCAGAGCTTACAGGGCTTGATCCAGATTTTCTCCTTGCTGCAAAATGGTATCCAAACCTCTCCTCTTCTAACACACACAGACATGGACCTTCTTGATCTATTCAGCAAAAAGCTGAACTATGGAGGGTTCGGAGAAGGGTGACTGGGAACCATCGACTTTCCCATTTCCAGTTATCCTTTGTGATGCTTTCAATCAGTGTCTTGTTATCTGGAGCAGCCCTTGTGCCTTGAGACCAGTCTTTCTCTGTTACTGTAATAGGCATTTTAAAATTCATGGACAATCAAAGGAAGTAGCAATCAAGATAGAGCAACGCAGCAGATTTTCCATCAGGTTGTAAGTTGAGAGTCATTAGATATTTTGATGGTAGCTTTTTGGACATTGTTAGATTTTTGGATATGCAGTCTGTTTACTCTTAATGGTTTTCAGGCACAGTTTGCTGCTTGCTTCTTCAAATAAACAAATCAATGCTGTACAATACATGCTTTAAAGGTTTATTTGCATCTCTTTCCATTGGTATCTGGTGAATTAGATGATTTGCAATGCACATCAAAATGATATCTTCCAAAACATTCAGATAAACCAGGTCTGACTATATTTTAGAAGGACAGCTATTTGAATATGTATTTGAAGGAAACATCACAATATTCAGATGCTGAATTACTTTGGTCTCTCTAGATTTAAGTTAAGATTCATTTAACATTTTATCTGTGATCCTAAAGATATATATATATAGACACACTATGGAGTGATGTTCTGTTTATCTTATGTTTAGTGCACAATAACATGTGGTACTATGATTTCCCAATATAATCACATTCTCAAAGTGCATTAAGCTTATATGCTCATGGAGTGACACTCCCTATATAATAATAATAATCCTTGCATTTGATATAGCGCTCTTCACCTCTTTGTGTGGGTTTGACTGTATTAACACTTTTTTATTTTCATGTTACATAATTGAATATCTTCAGGTATGACAGCTATGAAGAATATGAAAATGAAAGACTGAAGAGGGAGGAATATCGACGGGACTATGAGAAACGTGAATTTGAAAGGGCAAAGCAAAGGGAGCGACAAAGGCAAAAGGCCATTGTGAGTGATCGAAAGCAGCACTGTGTTTCATTTGTGTGCTCAATGTGCAAAAAAAAAGGAAGATGTATATGTTTAAACATTGTGTTTTTTTTCATCTCCTCAGGAGGAACGACGCGTTATCTATGTGGGTAAAATAAGGGGTGACATCACACGCACAGAGTTGAAGAGACGATTTGAGGTGTTTGGTGAAATTGAGGAGTGCACTGTCCACTTGCGGGAGGATGGGTAAGAATTTGAATGGTTCAATATCACTGAGGACTCACAATTATCTTAACCTAGGCCTTCTTTGATAGATAATAACAGGCATCCACTGTATAACAAGTAATACAAAAATCCTCTTGGTTATTCAAGCTCATTGCTTGCCTGTCAAATAGCGGTCCACTGAACTAAATTCCTCATTTCAATCATAATGTGACAGGTGTGTTGCAACGAATGACTGATTTTACTTGTGCTCCAATTATTTGCAGTGACAACTATGGTTTCATCACATATCGTTACACCTGTGATGCTTTTGCTGCCCTGGAAAATGGACATACTTTGCGAAGATCTAATGAGCCTCCATTTGAATTGTGCTTTGGTGGTCGTAGGCAGTTCTACAAGTCTAACTATGCAGATCTAGGTATGATTCCAAAACAACAAGATTTATAGTGTTTTCAAAAACTTTGTAGGAATCTGAATTAGAATTGAAAAATCACACATTGTTTGCAGCAAGAAGTTTGCAATTCAGCCCATTATGGCTGTACTACTGACCCTAACCCTAATCATTCCTACCTATTGTAAACCTATTGTCCTGTTTTCCCAGTTATCCTTTACATTATGTTGCCTCAAATGTTTATCCAATTTCCCTTGAAACCCTGTAATATAATTATTTTCAACAGTAATATTTGATAAAACATTCGACATTATAACAACCTTCTATGTAAACAAGGTTTTTCTAAATTGTTTTTCCTCTCCCATTTTACCTCTGAAGATCATCCTTTCTTTCTATTCTCTTGTCACTGATTAACAATCATGAGCGATAGTCTTTCTCTATTTATCCACAATGAAAGATGGTTCCAATTCTCTATTGCTATGGTAGATGTTTGTTTTCCTCAAAGAAATTCATAAACTATTATAATAATAAATTGGTCACTCAATCCATGGCTGTTTTTGGGACACTGCCGTGTGCAATTGGATGCCATGTTTCGCTCACAAAATATACAGTCGATTCACTTTACAGTATATTTTGTGAAGCACTTTCAGACATCTTGAAGACGTGATAATGCTCTATATCAAATGCAAGGATTATTATTATCATTATCAAAATGTGCATATTTACAATAGGAAGGTTCTACGTTACATATTGGGAAACATTATTTTATGTCTAGACTTGTCTACAAATTACTACAGTTACTACACTTCATGGTAAATCCTGGGAAATGCAAGGATTATTATTTTGCAATAATTTAACTGTATATAGTTGCATCATTAAGCCGACAGATGCCCAGAGTGGAAGACAGGGAACACAAAAAAGAAACATATTTGCAGAAGTTTTGCTGAATTTTAATGATCTCGTAAATATGTGAATCAGGAAAGGTTACATTTTAAAACTAGAACATTATTGCTACTAACTGATTTCCACTATACTTCACTAACTTAATGATTGAATGGATGTTATGGATTTCATTCATTAATTTCAAATTAATGCCATTTGTTAAACATAGCAAATTCAATGACCTCCTTAAGTTAGGGAATGCTAATTGTGCTCATTTAAGCAAGTTCCACATAAGGGCTAATTTTAGAAAAAATAACCAGCATTTCAAAAGTAAATGACCAATTTGCAATTGTTATTACAGACTATCAAGAAAGTGAAGCATTCAATCTTTCTAATGTTCCAGAGTATGAATAGCAGCAAATGTTTCTGCACTTGGTAAAGTTAAAGCTCTGCTAAAGCCCTACTTATGATTATTGTCCTTTTAAAAGCAATTAGAAAACCCATTTGTAGACTACGTATTTTACTGTCCTCTTTTCAAAGCATACATGTCATTCTAAGAGCAGCAGTGAACTTCTGTAAAACTCTGAATGCTTTTTCAATCCCCAGATTGGAGGCTAATAGCATCACTTCAACTACTGTAGCAACATTTATTGCAGATAATATTCAGAGTAATTTGTTAATGCATCCTTGATATAGAAGCACTGGTTTAAGCAAAATTCATCAACATTTGCAATAATTATGTTTAAAATAATCCAAATTGGAAACAAATTCCATTCTCTGATTAGCATTGCTTTCTCTGGAGATGTAGAAAATAATTACTTTCAGTAATCAAGTATACCATAGCTTTTCAGATTAGAGTAGCCAACTGTAGTACAGGGTGACCTTGTTGTAAGGCGTCTCGCTAAAGCTAAAGGTTGCTTATAACTCAGGTGTCCTTTCGACCTGTGTTTATTGAGAATACAGTACAATTTCTGATGTGTGCTTCACGAGAGCCAGGCTGAGCTAAAGTAACATCAGCCATAACCTGATGACCCAGAAGTGGGACTGGCAGCCATTTTGCTGCTGACTGTTCTTTGCGAGGGTCTAATTTTTAGACTCCGAACACAGAGTCAGAATGGTCATCGTGTACTGTGTTTCAACTCCCATAAGGGTACACTTAAGAAAAAAGATTGAATTATAATGATCCCTAAAAATGAAAGGCAGATTGTTCCTGTTGGGATGTACAGTTACGCAGGAATATCATACAAGTCAAGAGAGGCCAGTTTAAAATTGTATCTGTCCTTGCTAAACCATGCCAATAGTCCTGCATGTAAGATCTAGGCAAATTACTGGAAAGTAAAAGCATACAAGATGTGACATGAGTGTTGAATTAATCCTTTGGCTGGTTAGAGGGCACATGATCTGCTCCTGCCTGAAACTATTGGATATAAGTTAGGTAACAAGATAATAATAACATGTTACAACATAAGAAAACAAGGAAAACAATAACATGTTACATAATAGATCAATAGAACATTATAAATTATTAAATTAAAGGGTGATTAAAATGAGGTGCCAATAGCTAAAGAAAATGATTTATTATTGCGATTTATTATTCTGATCTGTTACTTGTCATTTTCTTGAGCATTCAGTTTGACAGGTTAGGGTATATCAGTGGAACTATCTATAACATGATTACCAATATCAAATACATAACATCCTATCTTATTTTTGATCAATAATCACCAACTACTTATAAGGAATGGTTGGATATTTTCAACATAATGGGGTGTAAAATACAGATTGGTCTGAGTTGCTATGGGTTTGTCATCTTCAACTGCCGTTTATTATGTAAATAACCACCAATGGAAAGAATTGCAGGGGATTTTGTAACCCTCTTCGTTGTTTCCAGATAATGGCGGTTTGAAGGTTTTAGTATATTTGTGTGTGAATAGGGGAATAGGCAATGGGCTGCACATACTGAGCATTAGCGTGTCCTCCAAAATTTATAGCAATTTTAACAAAAGCAAACACTGATGAATCGCCTCGTTAACCTTTGAGAAAGAGGATTTTTCTTTTTAAACCACTTTGTTAGTGGAAAAAACTATTTAAACCCAAATGGGCTTCCTGTGTTTGATGGTTTTGCGAACATTATTTTACTGGGATATTTCAACCAGACAGGTCTAAGTGAACCACAGATATACCCTGGGTACTCTGGGAAGATGTATATCTACTTCACAATGGTTAAGTGAGAGGGACACATAAAAAGGAATCTTTTCCATAATTACTTGTTAATGACTTGCAGGGAGGGGAATACCTAAAGCAGACAAAAGTATACATCACCTTAATGAGCTAGTAGGTGGATTAAAACAAAATGTATCATACACGCATTGCAGGCAGAAGAAGGATGAAATAGGAATTAATCAGAACCAAAAATAATTCATTGTAATGGAATACCTACTATAGGAATTTTTCAACCAGTTTAGTCTTGGGGAAATAGTTTAATTTGCTGTGAGATCAGTGAGTGTCAACTACTATATTCTTATTCTGACATCAATAAGTGTTCCATATTGAAAGCAATACAAATAGCAACTGAATTGAAGTATAAATGGTGACTAAAGGAGTCTGCACAATATGAAGGTAGGACACCTAGAAGAAAATAGACGATGGAATATGCACAGTACTGACTGAATTAGTTCATTATAAAATGGAGGGTAAGTAAATACAATGCTGATACCATTCTTTCATGTATTAAAGAGAACAGAGATCTAGAAAATAGTGAAGGACAATGCATTTGTTCAGATGAAGTACATCAAAAACGTTAGTAGGTTCATCTTTAGCTGAGAAATTAAAAAATATATGAATAAGGCAGCCCCAATGGTGTACTGTACAGATGTGGTTTGAGAGTGCTGCTTCAAATCCTGGTCCATGGGGAGATTAAATTGATCTTGACCTTCCTAAGTTTAGAGAGATGAAAACCTCTCAACACCTTCTACTGGATGTGTACGCGTGTGGCAGCTGGCTGTGGAGAGTTCAGGTTTGGCTCTGACACCCTCTACAGTTGATGAATTGCCTCTTTAACCTTTGAGAAAGAGGATTTTTCATTTTTAAACTACTTTGTTAGCAGACATAACTATTTAAAATCCAAATAGGGTTCCTGGTTTTGAAGAATTTGTAAGTTTTATTTCATATAAATATTTATACCAGACAGGTCTAAATGAACAGAGAACAAGTCATCACTCACTACCAAGGCTGAATGTCCCACAGGCAGCCATGGAGTGAATGCCCAATTTTATTTTGGGGAATTGTTGTTCAGGAGAAACTCCCTTCTCTTTTTGAATAGTGCCATGGGATCTTTAACATCCACCTGAACAGGCAGATGGGACTATAGCAAGGTGCTATACAAAATGTAAAGATTATAAGGATTGTGCCAGTGGAGAGAAAATCAGAAAAAAAACTTTTTTAAAAATCCTTGCATTTGATATAGCGCTTTTCACGTCGGGAGGACGTCCCAAAGCGCTTCACAGAACACACTGTAAAGTGAAATGATTGTATATTTGTGGGCGAACGCGGCAGCCAATTGCGCACAGCAATGTCCCACAAACAGTCGTAGATTGAAAATAACTAATTTATTATTGTTTTTGGTTTTGAAGGGATTATTATTAGGCTCTGTGTGGAGTAAGGAAACTTGCCCAAGGTTTCGCCCTCTGCCTGGAATTGAACTCAGGTCTCTCACTTGCAAAGTGAGTGCTCTAACCATTGAGCTACAGGACTCCACAATTTTAATTGGACAAGAAATTTAAATTCTTTTTAAATTAAAAAGAATAGTATGTGAAAAAACATAGATAGTGTATAAATAAAATAGAGTTGGGAGTTATTCCATTTCTTTTGCAATACTAAATAGAAAAGACTAGATTGAGGATAAAAGAAAATTGACTTCAATATCAAAGCTGTGGTATAATTCATGAAGCTTTGTGAGATTGAAATGAAAGAGATTGGTTTTATTAAATAAAATACATAAATTATACACAGTGAAGTCAATTATTCAACTCCTCGGAGTGCAGAATGAATATGGTGAGTGTTGAAAAATAAATCATGGATGTTGGTACACAAAAGCCTCTACAATTGGAAACCATGGTATAGAAAAACAAATGTTCAATTTGATAGAAGAGGTAGAGCAAATTGTTATTACGAGTTTCTATTCTGTAGAGATTTTTCCCCTCCTCCAATTTTCTTTCCCCCGCTACAAAAGCTGTTGGTCGACTCATTAAGAGGTACAAGTCTACAAACTTTGGCTGCCAACTTGTGCCTATGTTATGTATTCATTATTCAAGGGTCAACACTCACCTCTGAGTCAAAGTTTGTGGGTTCACGTTGTGCATTGTTGGAGGTGCTATTTTGGGGATATTTAATTTCAGGAGACATCTGCCTGTACAGGTGGACATTAAAGATTCCATGGCACAATTTGAAAAGAGAAGGGAATTTCTCCCCATATCCTGACTGGCAATCTCCCGGATAAAATCGGTCAATCACTTCATAGCTGTCTGTGGTAAATTGCTGTGTTCCCCTTCACAGTTACCCCAATTTACAATAAATTCAGTGGAGCACTTGGAGATGTCTTGACAATGTTGTAAGCTGCTGTATTAAATGCAAGAATAGTTATTTTGTTTGAGTTGAGACTGTGAGTTTCATCAAACTATTTGATCTTGGGGAGAACTGACACAGAAATAGGTGATTCAGTCCACCAAGTCTACATGTATTTCTTTCCACATGAGCCACCTAATCTGATCTCATTCTTCTGCTCATTGCTCATGCCCTTTAATATTCCTCTAGACTGGGATGACAATAGTCAGCCTAGTCCAGGCTAGCCATCAAACTGTGATCCTCTGGATCCATCTAATTGAGTCTCACTCAAGTTTCTGGTCTTCTCTTAGGTCTTCTCTTTGACCGTGCCTTCAGCTCCCCTCTCGACTCTCTTTCTCCTCCTCGCTCCCTCCCTTCCTTCCCCTCACCCTGACCATTTCCCCCCTCCTCGCTCCCTCCCTTCCCTCACCCTGACCATTTCCCCCCTGCTCGGGTCATGACCCAACTGTACAGCGCCTTGGGACGTCCTCCTGACGTGAAAGGCGCATTATAAATGGAATCTTGTTGTTGTTGTTGTTGTTAGTAACTGAGCCTTCCAAATTTCGAACTTTTACATAAACATTTATGTCTATATTCTTCTGTTGTAGATTCCAATTCTGATGACTTTGACCCTGCTTCTACTAAAAGCAAGTATGATTCGATGGATTTTGACACCTTGCTGAAAGAAGCACAAAGAAGCTTGCGAAGGTAACAGACGCCAAATTTGCCACTCGTGAAGGAAGCTGCAGGACTTTGCAGGCATCCTGCCATTTACCATTAAAGGACTTGCATTAGTCATCTCGGGATCTAATCCCTCTTTACACTCTGTACAAATAAAGTTTACATGAACACAGCTGCTCCAGTGTGTGAGGAATCTGGAAGGATATCTAATAAGAAACCTAAGGCACTTGAGGGTATCCAAAATGCAAGAACACAACCAATAGGCTAGAAGAAGTTTTACACATGATATACACAATAATCTGATGGAAGGTGCAGCTTGTTCAGCATTTTTTTCTCACATTTGGATGTGGTGTTACATTACTGACAAAAGTTGGGGATAAATATCTGGGGTGTTTCAGATCTTTTATTTACTAAATGCTGAACTGTAGGTACAAACTTTACTAATGTTAAATTGAGTATTTTTATTTTGTGTAAATAAAACAATGTTCTTTTTTGTTTGTTACAGCTATGCACTGTAAATGCAGCCTTCTTTTCAGTAATTAAGAATGTAATCACAAATTAAACACTTATTGGACATTAATATATTTAGAGAGTTCGGAAGGCACTAAACTGAGTAGATGTGTAAAGCAGTTTGTATGTGTTTCGAGCACCTGGACTGCTGCTCCTTTTCTGTACTGTAGCCTTTTACAATGAGCTTGCAGTTGAATGATTTAGAGAGTGAGTCATGACAGCAACCCCATGGCTATTTTTAATCATTGAAGGTGCTTTCATTTTGTCCATTACGTTAACCTAGATCGAAGTTGATAAATCCGGAGAATTTTTTTTAATAAAAAAAGTTGCATTTGATTTGCTCTTGATATTCGGAAAAAAAATATTTCTGATGTGTTAATAAATTGCAGATCATTCATCACTTTCTTATTAACTTATTACAGTACCTATTATTTCTCTCCTCCACCCTCCCCCTCTGAAACTATGACTATTTTAAGGGAAGATTAAAGCCAAACTGAAGGATGGTTATTTAAAGTTAGCAATTACTAAGCCTGTCTTTGTTTAACTTTACTGATCTGCTGAGAAATGAGGAAACAAGGGTGGGAAAATCTTTAGCTGCTTCCCTCCCCCTCCTATCCCGTTTACACTATGAATCTAAATGCATTGTGCTTCCGCCTGAGGAAAGTGCTTTTTTTTTAGTTCATTTCTCCATCAATGCTAAAAATTTGTATTAAGAGATCCTAATGGCTGTCATTAGGAAATTATTTTCATACGTTTGCTAAACTAAGTTGTCAACCTTATAAGTATACAGATAGCAATATAAAAGGTTTTGACCCAGTCATTCATTAATGTAGTACCACTGGTCTTTATCTCTGCTCGCAATATTACTTAATAGGTAAAATTTCAGGTCTTTTAACTCATTTTATCATATGATGCCAAACTGAGGTTTACATTTTCTTCCCTGGATTTTGAATATTCTCTTCTTTATTGTAATAGCAAGATTGTAAAAAAAATACAAAAATAGCAATAAATGTTTATTTTTAAAATTCTAATTTTAGCATATCATTGTTGTGAGGTGGAGGACCAGGCACATTACCCAGCCTCATTAGGTGCTTATTGTGTGTTTTAGGAAATGTTAATCTAACCTATTGCTACTGAAGTATTTCATAGTTTTTGTGTGTAACATTGGCTAACTAGAACAAAATCAGTGAAACTGTGCATTCATAGCAACTGTTAGTTATCAGCAATTCTTTACAACTTGGGTAATGATGTTTTGTCCTGTCTAGCGACCGTGATGAAGATTTTAATGATTGTAAAATAAAATTTGCTCTGTAAAATACTTAGAATAGCAATGTATTATATCACTTGATTATTCATTTTAACTGGTGTGACAGATCCTTTAATTAAGTAAAATAAAAACCTATGAGGATACTGTGCTGTTTGTGGGTGACAATGTATCAATGACTTTAGTTGATGGAACCATGCTGACCAGGAAATCGGAGTAGAGATGTCGTCTGTCTGAGCTTCCTTTTGGCTGACACTTCTACCTGTATTGTGTGGTTGAACCATTGTATAAAATTACTGTGAATTTTTTTTTAATGTGCAGTTCTCATCAACCTCACCTAACTAATAAAGGGAAACAAGGTTTCAAACGCTGTCCTCTGTTTGTGTAATGATCATCCCAAATTTAAAACAACGCAAGCATGCTTTTGGAGGTTAGGAGGAATTGTGATGCAAGTGATCTCACAAATGAATAAGTCACGCAGATTAATAATTGATGGCTTGTGCTAAACTAAAATAGCAACATTCAAAGTTCTTTTAGAAAAATATATATCATTTATATGAGAGAAAGCTAACATTCAAGTTACAGAGTTAACCGTAATTGTATGTCTGCCCTTGTCGGAGCTTCAGAAACAGATAGAAATTTATAGCACAGGAGGCTATTTGGTCATTGTGCCAGTGCTGGCTCTCCGAAAGAGGTAAATGAATTCATTAATCACCTGGGCTCACAACAAATCTGATCAGTTGCTGTTCTCTCAAATTTTCCTGTTGAGTTGATTTGCTTATTCACTAATCTTAAATCACATTGGTATTTCTGTCACATCATGGCTTATATTCAGTAGCGTTGTAGCAAACTTCACACAAACGTGACCCAAATTGTCATGGTTGAATGATATGAACTGTGTTTGCTAAATAAAGAATACAGAGTATCTTTATCACACAGAGGTAATGATTATTAAAGCTGAATGCTGATTGCAATTCTTCCACTACATCTGCATAACTATGCGAGAATGTGCACACAGATGGGGGCAGATTGCCTGCAGCACCCGTAAGAAGCATACGACTATACCTCTTCTATTGAAAAAGCACATTTTCACTGAAAACATTGTAGATACACTTCTGCAGTTATCACGAGCAGTGCATGTTTCTGCATTGATGAGGTAATTGATGTCTGAGTCCTTTAACGTGATTTACTATGGTTCAATTACTCTCTTTCTTCCTCCACCCATACAACATCTTCTGTAGGGTATGATTCCATTAATATACTGAATTTGAGCCAAGCACATGATATTTTAAGCCTCAGTGCACAGCTAGATCAGTCAGATTCTATTTATGGATACAAACAAATTTTGTGGCTCAAAGAATTAAACACATTTTGTATATTTAAAACAGAGCATTGCAGATAATGAGGAAAAAGGCAGTAGAGCAAAAAATGTGACAATGTCATAATTGGCATCAGCGATTATGACAGTGAATGTCCCATTTTCTCACCATTAATATACCTATGTGTACATATCACTAGCTGTATGACACATGTGAACAGACAATCCTTTTAAAGAACAAAAAGGAAAAGAAGGAATGGTATACAAGATTTGAAAACTGAACTCCATGTAAATAGATTTGATCTCTATTTTTGCTTTGCACTTTTCCTCTTCCCTTTGAAAATACAATTAGTGGATGTTACCATCTGGTTGTTTGCTCTGGCATTTTTCTCACAGTCTGGAAAATTTTATATATATAAAAAAAGCATAAAAATAATAATCCTTACATTTGGTATAGTGCCTTTCAGTCCTGAATATGTCTCAAAATGTTTCACAGGATAATCTGTAAAGTGGAGTAACTTGAGTTTTCGTGGGCAAATGTACTATTTATATAAGTGTGCTGATTTTATTTCGTTAACATCTGGTGGCATTTCTTTTTAAACATTTTCCTTTTGCTATGTCCCATGAGCCAGCCTATGTGAAATACTTAGATTTGCATACTTCAGCTGATCATACGTTTCAGATGCGGCCCATTTACACTAAAGGATTGACAGTGACTGATCTGATTTCAGCAAACAGGATACTTATGGTCATGAGGGAAGAGAGCAGAATTTAAATTCTAGTCATAAAATAAGTTGCAGTAATTCTAATGAAGGGTCATATCTGATACATTAGTCTATTTTTCTCTTTCAGATGCAGATTCACCTACTGCATATTTTCAGCATTTTTTTATTTCAGATTGTCAGCATTAATGCGCTTCTCTCTTTATGTTTTTACTATTTTGGGAAAGACAGGTATATACATAGAATACACTTCCAAAGAATAGTGTCGTTATAATTGTCAATAACATGTTTTTTTAGAAGTGTGTCAGCTTGACTCAGTGGTAGCACTCTCGCCTCTGAGTCAAAATATTGTGAGGTCAAATCCCACCTCGGGACTTGGAATCACATAGTCTAAGCTGACATTCCAATGCAGTGCTGGGGGTGTGCTGCATTCTTGAAGGTGCTGACGTTAAACCAAGGTCCTGTTGAAATGGACACTAAAGATCCCCTTTTGCGAAAAGAGAAGGGAGTTTCTCCCGGAAAGAGAGGGGAATTTCTCCTGGTGTCCTGGCCAAAATCCCCAAATAAAATTGGTCACTCAGGCCATGGCTGTTTGTGGCACAATTGCTTTTCGTAACTGGCTGCCATGTTTCACCCACAAAATACACAGTCAAAAAAAATACTTTACAGTAAATCCTGCAAAGTGCTTTGATACATTTTGACGACATGATAAGGCACTATATCAATGCAAGGATTATTATCATAATAATCTTCGGCTGCAATTTGCTCACATTTTTAATGTTTTTTTATTAAGGCATGATGGAATCTTATTAGACTTCTTGTTGACTCTAAAGAAACACACAGCAGAAGTAGATCAATTTGCAATGAGTAGATGTTAAGTCTAATGATGGCATAACTTTGACTCCTTGCTAAAAGATTATTGCAAATTACACAGCCTTGTTACTTTTATAAGGCAGCTGCCAGTGCAGCTTATGAAGCTACTGTGTTATTGATGCAGACAATTTATATTCCCCCATCATTTTTTTCTCTCAAATTGGAAGTATCATAGATGTGAGGGCATGCGTTTCCCTCTCTGAGTCCTTTACACCGCCACACTATTATTTCCCTGCCTCTCCTGAAGGCGCTGCTTCATGTTGGGTTCATTTTCATGTGAGTCCTGCTCAAGAGACCATGTTTGAATGAATGACTGCTGACATGAGAGGCAACATAGACGAGACCAATCGTGATTTAATATTCAACAGTAAATTAGGTCAATTCCTGATATAACAAATAGACTGGTATTGGTTTAAGCTAGAAAAATGTGAGCATATTGGGGGAGGTGAATAAACAAGAGGAATAGAAATGAATTGTATTCCCTTATCTTCATTCACTCATGACATACACAGTCACTCCACTTTGCAGAATACACTTAGAGAAATCCTCCCAATAATAATTGCGCACAGCAGCGTCCCACAAACAGTTGTGAATTGAGTGACCAATTTATTTTTTTTAAGCAATTATTACCCCCGGAAAAGTGATCTGCCAATCAACTAACAACTGGGTTCCTACTTATTGCTAAGTAAACAGAGGCGTGTGGAGCAAGGAAACTTGCCCAATGTTTCGCCCTGCCAGGAATCTAACCCAGGTCTCTTGCTTGCGAGGCGAGTGCTCCAACTACTGAGCTACAGGACTTCACTCCAGTGTGAAAAGTGCTAAATCAAATGTAAGGATGATTATTATTATTATTATTACAACATGAGAAGGATGTTGGATAGATGGCTGAAACCAGCAGCCCTGTACAGTGAAACCTCATTATAATGCAATAGTTAGGATCCATAAAAACCCGAGCAGAGCTGTTACAGGATGTGATAGCGCTGATTGGGTTTTTATGGACCTATAAGTCCTGGTCAACACTTATGCATTCACTATGCATGTGTGTAGAGAGATGGCTGAGTCCAGTACCACTTCAAAAAGGCAGCCAGCACACAGCAACCCAAAATGGCGGTTTCCAGTTCACCACAGGCCACTGAGACACTCATCCACACGTTCATCACATCCAGGCTCGACTACACAAACTCCCTGCTTGTCAGCCTCTCCAAGTCCTCCCTCCACCAGCTGACGATCATCCAGAACTCTGCAGCCATGTCCTCTTCCGCGCCAGGCTCCCCGACCCAATCACCCCCATCCTCACCCAACACCACTGGCTCCACATCACACAGGGGATACAGTTCAAGATCCTGGTCCTCATGTTCAAAACCCTCCACAGCCTATCTCTGTGACCTCCTAACTCCTGACCAACCTGTCTGCTCCCTACGCTCAGCAGGTTCTGGGCCTGCTTCACATCCCCCGCCTTGTTCACTCCACCATTGGTGGGCGGGCCTTCAGCCTCTCTGTCCCCACCCTTTGGAACTCTATCCCAAGGTCCCTCTGCCTCGTCCCCTTTTTTGCCTCCTTCTTAACCCATCTCAAGACCCTCCTCTTCGACCATGCCTTCAGTCACCCTCCTACCCTTGCCCTCCCCGCCCTCCACCTCTCCTCATCCTAACCACCAGCTCAGGTACAAATCCCTGACTGCCCAGTGCTATCCCGTCCTCCTGACGTGAAAGGCACTATACAAGCGTACTTTGTTAGTGTTGCCTCTCGCATTTTTAATTTTTTGTGTAAGTAAATGTCAGGGTCCAAACCACAACCGCGCGATAAGCAAATCCCGCTTGATAATGAAGCAGCTTATAACAGGGTTTAACTGTATGTCAAAAATCTAGAACAAGGGATGGGAACACAGAAGAGAGAAAGGAATTTCAGATTTAATTATTTACACAGAGAGTGTGTGAACTCGACTACCCAATGGACACAGATTGTGTCAATAAATTTGAGAAGGAATTAAATAAATATTTGGCTAAGAATTCAATTGAGGGATTTGAAAGCTACAGTGTAGAATCATTTATTTAGTCATTGTTTTATTTCTTAATATCTTTTAAAATGTAGAACAGATTGCAATAGCCTTTCCAGGTTATGTGCATTCCTATTTGAACCTTAATAAATTGTTCCATGAAGGGAAGGTGGATTGACTGAAAGACTTTATTCATTCCTGCATTCTGATCTTTTTATCAAGCCTTTTGAACAAAATTAAAGGTAAGCGACAGATAAAGAGAGACAGTGTCCCCAGACTACAACAAAAATTGGATGGTAGAGAGAGAGTTCAGCCCACTGCCAGGAAAATTAGACACCCCAGCCACATACACATAAACATACAATATTGCCAGGGAAATCAGGCATGCAGATTTACTGTAGAGTGCCAGGGAAATCAGATGTGCTGCCAGGGAAATTGGATACTATAAACACACGGAC